CCCCCGCAACTACTGCGTGTCAGCCTTTGAGTGCGACCCGCGTTGCACCGCACGGCGCACGCGAGACGCGGCGTGCGGGCTGCGTCCGACAGGGGTGCGCGCGTCAACGCACGCACGAACGCGCGTGCACGCGCCGCGGCCGCCGTGATGGTTGGTCCGGTGAACCTGGGTTCGTTGTGCGGGATTGCAAGAGGGTGTGGTTGTTGAAAGAATTGGGATTGAAACGAACATGGTTGTACTGATTAACAAAATTTTCGTACCAAAATTTCCTCAGGAAAAAACCTACCTATATTAACAGCGTATCAACAGATATACTGAATATGAATCATAGATATGAGCCCAGTCCTGAGTAAAGACTCTGCACAAGAAAGCTCACTCATTTTAAAAATTGTAGTTTTGCAGAAGAACGGATTTTTATTCTTCGTAGAGCTGTTAGTGGCCAACATCAGTGTTTTACACTCTTGCGAATTATCTGTAAAAATTAATTCAAAATTGCAGAAAATGTTGGAATTAAAAATTTGATACTTTTGAAATAAATGTGATCATTGAACTTAATCAATAATCACAATAAATGTGATCATTGAATTCGCTTAATGACCATTCGAGACCGTATGTTCCTTTTTCACGTCTGTTCGCGGGTCCCCGTAGCTAGACGTCATGGAAATATCCCTTCTTCTGTGGGAGGCCGTGTAGAAACTGAAATGGCGTACTGACATCGCCATTCTCTCTTCCATGTTAGAGCACAAAGTTCCTTTGAATTCATCCGCATTTGACAGCGACCACTCCCAATGAATACTGAGAAATGGGTTTACTAAATGACAGTTTTAGAGATTTCGCTATTTTTGTGAACCGTCGGTACGAACCCTGTGCATGAGGCACAGACGCCAAATTTAACAAGAGCACAAAATCCTCCAAACAAGCTCTGGTGAAAATGACGGACAATGCATAGTGTAGCATCAGGGCTGCCCTCTGCATAGTGACCTCTGCCCTCGCAATTTCTTCCCTCCACTATTTTGCCGTGCATGTCATCGAGTCCGAAATTCCGGTCTTCAAGCAACAACAAACAAGAAAATAAGGAGTTTGTTTTTTGCTAAGAGAGTGTGGTATATGCTCAGGAAGTGGCGTGATTGTACGTTAGAGGCAACCACGTAAAATGTATCAGCCCACTCTGCCGACACAATTACGAAAAAATTCCATTTATCATAATCACGTGTCATAATGATAAAAGTCAGTTAATTACACCCGATTACTCTGGTGGCGAATTGTTTCCCGACATGACTCAATAGTAACGTTAGAGTTAGTGAATGATCAGATACTTACATTTAGGTTAGAATAGTGCTCGTTATAGTGTGCAGTGCTTCGCACTCTGCAAATCATGGCCGAACCGGCCACAACGGAGCCTGCGTCACAGATGCAATTGACCAGCCTGCAGGATTAAAATGCCTGGCTGCGGAAGCCAACTATTCACATTATGGGAAGCCTGCACAATTATACCGGATATCAGATCTCTACATTACTGTGTATACCACATTTGAGTGTTGCCGATTATGCTAAATGCATAATGAATATTTTCTATTTCGTGTCCTCTATTTCTAACATCGGATGCACCAAGAAGTGTTTCTTCAAACCTTTTCAACGATGCGATTGAAATATTTTGGTTGATTGGAGTCCTGCCAAGTAACGTTACATCTAATTCACTTGAGCATTCAAGGACGTCTCTTCTTTTAAAGAATGTTAAGTTTCTTTTACACGAATTGTCGGAGATGTTCATCAACTTCTCTCTTATTACGGAGTACTCGCAATAATTATTTACATTGCAATAGGAAACAGAGAAAAAATTGATCTTAGTGTGCGTAGCGCTTTAAATATGGGCTTGACACGTTCGTACACGCACGTGCACTTAATCACAACCACGCGATCTTTCCTCCTCTTTCCGTTGATCGAATGATGCACGCCCAATGGGAGGTGGCTGATGAATTCGGCGGTTCGCGAAGAAACTTTTTCACCCATACTGGTAAAAAAATGAGTCCTCTGTGACGTTATACAGTAAAAGTGATGGGTGTTGATAAGACACTAGCAGCATCAATACTTCCCGAGAATCAGTGAACATACCTGTACTCGTAAGGTACGCTGCACTTCATCTTACACTCGACTTTTGACTCCTGCGAATCGATGCGTTGAAGCATTAACTCTTAGTGACCTTAATTTTTAATGCTAGTTTTTTCTATGTAGTAATCTTATTTGCTTGTGCATGTAATTAAAGATGTGAGAGGTTGGAATGTGAATTGAAAGATATTAAATTCAAGATAATTAACATTATATGTTCTGTGAACTGCATCCCTATACACAATTAATACGATTCTCGATTTCATGATTTTCCTAAAATATTCACTAAACCAAAGAAGAAATCGGTTTCAGAATTAGTAAATTACATTCAGAGATCTGAAATGAGGCTCAATCATTGTGTTTCATGAACTCTACTTTGTTTTTCATTAATTGCTGTCGTGTTATTGACAATGAAAACACTATATTTTCCACACTTTTACGCTTAAAGTTCGTGATTGTTTCATGCATTGTGAACCCATCATTATGCAAGCTGAGCTATTCATATCATTGTCATGAGCAGATACGTAATATGTCAGCGAAATGAACATACAAAATTCGTGATGATGTAGTATGTATTTTCGATAAAACAATTTTAGCCTTTTTATATTTTGTAGCAGGAAGAAATGAAAACTTACACCGCAGATAGTGTTATTGTACAACTGGGATCGGACCCACGAACGTGCGTTTAAGAAGCCAGTGCAGTGGGCTCCACATCACCCAAAGAGACATCTCATCAAAACGTGCCCACTCCAAATATATGCGCGTTAAGCAGCGTGATTACAAAGCGCACTAGGGGCCGAGCGTAGGGACTGGCAGCGGCGAGGGCTGTTCTCAAAAGCACGGGAGAGGGTCGCGGAATTTTTCGGGCGAGTTCTGGCGCGCAACATGGCGCGGGACTTCCGGCGGCGAGGGCGCGACGCCCGAAGGGCAGAGGGCGCGAGGACACGTCGCATTTTGTCGCCCTCCGGCCGCCGCCCCCGCCCCCGCCCTCACCCTCGCCCTTG